AAATGATTGTCTTCTGCAGGACAGAAAAGGGTTTGTTATCCTTCCTTTGACCGGAGATGAACCAAGAGATGAATCTGGATCATTTCTCACAGACAGCTTCAAGTCCGAGCCGTATTTGCTGCGACATGAAGAGCATGAAGTTCAGATTTGGGTGAGTTCTTTTTATTTTTTTCCCTCTGGCGCACCCTTTTCACCTCCCTGTTCTAGAGCTTAATATGCCAAGTGCCCACCCAGCATCTAAAAACAAAGGCCTTGTTAGAAAGAGCAGAGCTGATGGATGCACAACACAGCAGGTGCACTTTTCCAAAACACATCACATGCTGAGTGGTTCGGCCCCGCTCCACGGGATGGAGCGCATGTGACATACTGCTCAATACAGCCAGCTGCATCCATGAGACAGATTTTCTGGGTTCCTTGCAACTTTCTCCATGCGTTATCAAGGGACTGTATACACAATGAGTTGTATGTGTTTGATGGTTAATTTTCAAGAGTTTAGCGCTATGGAATCAACTGTCATGATTGCCAATTGAAAAAAGAGATTTGAAATTTGTATCTGCTTAGTTCAGTGAGTTGAGTTGAGTCTATATGCTATTTCGTGTATGAATCATCCTCCGGCCTTAAAATGGCAAAAAGGAGAAAGCGGCCTCTACTCTTTTTCTCGTTGAGCCTTTGGCTCCACTCTGGCAATAGATCATGCTCGAAGTGTCTGCTCAAGTACGAAACAAATGCAGGTGTTGCCTCGAGTTTCACTCGAGTCTCAAAGTTCAAGCGCCTATGTCATGTACTGGCCTTGGCTCGATCTGGCCTCGGATTTTGCGATTCTGGGATTTTGCATGCCTAGTATGAGTATGCTCTGAATTTTCCTTCATGTGACTGTTAAAGGTGGATAACATGCTGATCTTGGGGGGTATGGGTGATCCACTCCCCATGGGACCGGCTGTGACTGTCACCACAGTACCTGCTGCTGCAAAGATGTTATGTGCCTGATTGAAACGAAATCCAGCATGGCATCCACACGTTCCCATACACGTGCGCAATGACAAGTGGACTTGTAGAGACCAGTCCACACCAAACCAGATGAGGAAAATACACAGCGGATGCACACAATTACCCAAAAGAATTGAATTGAAAATCAATTTCAATTACCATCTCTCCCCAATTCAATCAGCGACACAAATTTTCCCAAGAATCCCAAGCACGTTATCAACACCCGCGGACCAACTACTTACAAAGTTTCATCGATATATTCAGGAGTCTTCTTCTTCCTCCCTCTATGGCGCCACTTCCACTTTCAGCGCCCAACCAGACAAGCCTGCAAACGCCACACACCCTCCTTAATTCAACACGTCACTCTGCACCACTCGTGAAGCCCAGCTGCAGATGATGTGCCCACTCAGCAGGGGAGTGCAGCGCCCAGGATGAAGAAGAACAACTCGATGAAGATGAAGGCCTGCCACATCAAAGAAGACTTCAAAGAGCTGCTTTGTGGCAGCTGCCCAAACCCCAATGGCACACAAATAGGAGGAAGCGCTCTTCAGTACTTGGGCGCCTAGCCCAGTGCTGCCATCAACAAAGCTGCTCGGCCCCCGCTATGGCCACCAGCAGCGTGTGAAGATGATGATGCTGCGCTACTGAAGAAGAATAGCGCTCAGCTCCAACGCGACCTCACACCCAGCTAGTGAAAAGAAGAATGAGCAAAAGGAACCTGACTCCCAATGACCTCAGCCTATTTCTAGACTTGACTCCCAATGACCTCAGTGTTATGATCCTGGCCAATTTCGAAGTACAAAATTCACGAGAAAGCACAATGCCGTCCAATTGCGAAAGAAATGAATGAACTTGAGAGGAGAGAGAGGGAAAGAAGAAGAAGAAGAGTATGTACACCAGCAAAGACCAATGATAATTCCCTTCTTAACCACTCTCCTCCTTATCTCGCCCCCTCTTTTTTTTATTGAAAAAAAAAAAAAAAAAAAAAAAAAAACAGAACCTCTTGGTTCTGGATCCTGCCATTCTGGGGAGCAACAGTCCGGTTCCTATTCCCCCGGCAAGTCAAATATGGATACAATGAAGACATGCGGATGCTCCTCCCCATTATGGTTGAGAGGCCCGAGTGGACGACATTGGGGAAGGATGTACCACCCCTCACCTCTGCCTAAGTTAGCCTATATCCTCTACCTTCTGATCCTCTGAGCCGCCTGGCTCCTAGCTCCTCTCAGCTGAGTGCTGTCGGATGAACCTGAATGCTAGAGCTGATGTCCAGGGCTGGCGTCCAAGGGTTTGCTAGAATTGTTTCTACCCAGCTCTACCCTGTTCTAACAAGGAACTTATATGAACTTGCTTACGTCTTGAGTTTAGTGGGGTATATCTTCTAACCTCCCTTTCTCTCTGCTTTTATCCTGCCGGGTGCTGAAGAAGCTAACTGAACTGCAGCTTCTAACTTTTGCCTTCTCTTAAACCCTAAACCCTAGGCTTCTCGGGACGTCTGTTGTGCGCAGTTTGTTACTTGAGTGTTTTTCTTAAGGGCGCTGTTTCCTAGTCCTTCATTGTTTTAGCCCCTTTTTTAGGTAACTCATTCACTGAAATCGTTATCGTGCCTGTGTTTCCACTCGTTAGTGAGTGTTGTGCCGTTGGTTGTCTCATGCGGTTATTCCGGTTTAATTCGGGCCTATCGTCATGTCTGTCAGGTGGGTTCTGCTTCTTGGTGTTCCTCCTTTTTTTTTTTTTTTTTAACCCCTAACTTCTAAACCCTCCCTATTCTAATGCCTCTAAATTCTAAACCCTCCCTGTTCCTCACCTCAGAACATCCTCTCTCATATCCTCTTCTGATCTGATTGTCTGCCGACTGTGCCACGTACTCTGTATTTGTATTAAGTTGATCTATCCCCGACACTGGCTACTTCCCTTAAAATCCTAAACCCTCCCTGCTCCCTGTAATGGAACCGCACTCTAATATACCTTCTCTGACCCGAATATCTGCCGACTGTGTTTGTTGACTGTTTTGGCGATCCCCTTTTCTGTTCCCTTTCTGTTTTTTACCGTAACGACTTATATTCCTTTGCACCCTTCTACCCCCCCCCTCCATTTGAACCTTAAATTACTACCATTTATAGTTGCCACCGCTCCTTGCCCCAGGATGTTGTGTTTGAAGCGTTTCGTTATCTCTTCCTCCTGCACCGGTTGGAAATGTATTTGCTTCCTTACTGCTTTCCACTGAGCCCTCAGATCTGTTTCAATCAATGTGAGGAATATCTCCCTTGCTTCCTGTTTGTGCATTGGCCGCCCTTCAATAGTAATTTGGCACCGGCGTTTCCAAATGGTCCAGAGACAGTATTGGCGTATCAATTTAAACATGTGCTTCGCAAAAGGCTGCCAATGTTTCGGAATGTTGAGACCCAACAAAAGAGAGATTTTGGATTCAGGGAATGTGGCCCTCGACATCTGTCCCCATATGATCCTTGCTTATCCCCATATCCTGATTGCTTCCACACATTCTATGAGGCAGTGTTGCATTGTTTCAGGGAATCCCGCTTGACACACTCTGCATGTTGCAATCTCCGGATTTCTCTGCCTCAAGCTTCTTCGCTCATCCAACAATACATTAACGGATTTCTCTGCCTCAAGCTTCTTTGCTCATCCAACAATACATTAACAGAAAGTGCCACATGAGCTAGTAGCCACTGCATGCGTCTGACTGGACCCAGACATATGGCAGCAATGCTTGACCATGGTATTTTAACCAATTGATTACGGGGAACCCCTACTCTCCTTTCCCGACTCTTGAGCAAATGCGGCGTAAGCGCGTGAGATCGCCTCTTCAATCTATACCCGATTCTAGTGGTATAGTGGAGGATGCTGATTCTTCTTGCTGCATCTATTTCTCCACTTCTTATATTCCAGGCCCATTCTGCTGGATCCACTTCCAAATCTTCAAGCGGTATAGATGGATTGAATATTGTGCATTCATCTGTCTCCACTACCCTGACCTTCCGCAGGTACTGTTTGAGGATAACGATCGGTGCTTTGGATGCCATGTCCAGGAGAGAAGTAGTGTTGGGAGGATGGAGTATGTCATACCTGTCTGCATCCAGCCATTCCTGCCTTGAAATATCTTGGTTCCAGACCCTAAAGACTTCCTTAGGTTCGTTATCATCACCCCATGTGGCCCAGTCTCCCTGATCCCACTGTATACCTCTCTGTAGCAGTTGCAGCCATCTTTGCGGTATAGCTCCCAGTATGACCTCACGATTGTCAGCTAATTTGTGACATCCTTTTAAGTGTGTCCTCAGTTCTCTGACAGTTTTCCATCTTCCTTCCCTTTCTTCCAAAATGTGCGTTACCTGCCAAACCCCGTGCTCCAGCCACCTTCCCCACTTCGCATCCGTTACCGACAGCGTCAGCGGCTTCCCCTGTGCGTCCTTAATACTTGGGTTGCAGAATAAAGGTTGTCTAAGTACTTCTTCTCTCGTGTTAGGCTCCTTAACTTTTGCCGGGAAGATATCCTTCCATAACTTCAGCAGTTGTCCCCAATAGGATATCCTCGTAGCGTCGTCGTCCTCCTCCTCATTGCTCCGCTCCCTTCTGCCTACCCTAGTCCAATTGCTGCACATTACCCAAAAAACAAGGCCGACATATTGTGGGGCGTTTTAAATTTAGCCATTTGTCTTATCCTGTGCAGCACCAGAGAGGACCATGGTAGCTTGTGCTGGGCTATCAGCCTAGTTACCCACTTGGTTTGTAGTGCTTTAAGTTGGGTGTCCGGGTCTAGAATACCCAGCCCTCCCTGGTGCTTTGGTGTAGTGACATGTTTCCGTGCCACCTTAGGTATGAAGTTTGAATTGTTAGCTTTGGATGTTTGGCCTTATCTCGCCCCCTCTTATTTCACAATAAATAGTAATAATAATGTTGAATGGCTGAACCAGAATCAATGTCTGAATCCCTCTTCTACTGCTTGGCATAACATGAGGTCCACCATAGCCATGGTCGCAGCCTCCTTCCTCTTCGTGAAGGTCGAGGCTATGGCAGACTACTAGGGCCTTGCCCTGCTGTGCAAAAGGCAACTCAAAGCAGCTATGGCTTCTCCTGCTCAGGCCGCCATGCCTGACTCTGCCTTGAAGCTTCTTGATGTAGCTCTGCCCCAATTGGGCCTTCCAG